CACCGCCCCTTACGCTCTCTTCACCGCCCATGCTATTACTCGTTTCGCATGACGTGACTATCTTTACACTAACGCTGTATAAAAGGGCCTTTCCGGCTACCATTGACATACCACAATACAATTGAGTTTTCTACAGCTCAACTGTGTCTACTGTCAACTACTAATTCAACTGAAGCAATCAACTTCTGCTGAAAAGCTATCATGAAGATGGAAATCCGCACCAGGGGTAAGTACGTTTTTACCTCATCTTACCTAATCGTGTTTACCTCATATATGCCCTTACAGCTCGTATATCAAGCCTTACCCTGGCCAAGGGAGTGAGTTTTGGCAAGAAGCGGGACAATCCGAACAATTGCAAGGTTAAGACCAACTATGGAATGATTGAAGGACGTCGCTATACTACTGCTGATGGATTTCAAATGGATGCGTTTTTGGGGGTACCGTATGCCCAACCGCCGGTAGGAGAGCTGAGGTTTGAGGTAAGCTTACCTATCCAAGAAATCTTTGGCAATTCAACATACCCCCTTATTTTACAATATACTGTATGATTCTGTCTAAATCTTAGTAATTCGGGTCCCAATCCACTTGCCAAACTAGTTGCCAGCAAGTTGTCATTTTCTTGCTATTCCAATTGCCAACCAGTTGCCATCCAGATGCCAACCCAGTTGTCAACCTAGTTGCCATTTTGTTGCCCAACCCAGTCACCAATCCAATTGCTAATCTGGTTGCCTACCCATCTGCCACCAAGCTGCCTTCCAGTTGCTGTTGCCAATACTGTTGCCAACCTTGTTGCCGGCCTAGTTGCTGTTGCCATTCTAGTTGCCAACATAGTTGCCAACCCAGCTGCCACCAAGTTGCCTTCCAGTTGCAAACCTAGTTGCCAATACTGTTGCCAATCTTGTTGCTGATCCAGTTGCCGACCTAGTTGCATCCTAGTTGCAGTCGCCGTCCTAGTTGCCAACATAGTTGCCAATCCAATTGAAAACCTAGTTCGCAACTTGTTGCCACCTAGTTGCCAACCCGTTGCCACCAGTCGCCACCAGCAGCTATTCACACTTGAAACCATCCCTTGTTAGAGACGCAGAGTTGGTTAGCCCCGGTACAGGTTTTCTGCGCTGCTTCTTCACGTGTCAGCCAAGCCATCGACGAAAGATATGGAACGTTCCCGAAAACTGCGCTAGCGCATCAAGACGACCACCACCACCGCAGCGGGTAATTTCGCGCGCAGTTTTACAGACATGGCGACGTTTCTTTTGTTCTTTCAACCATTTGCGCACACATTGCTTATGAAGTATGTACTCTCTGCAATCGGATGCAGCGGACATGTGCGAAAGATGGAGAATTAGCTCATTTGAAAAAGGGAAAGGGTGGAAAGACTGGAAAAAAGGATACAAATGTTGACCAGAAAT